GTTTTCTCCATCTATAGTGATTGAAAGCTTTGCTGGGTACAGTAGTCTTGGTTGGCATCCATGTTCCCTTAGTGTTTGTAGGATATCTGTCCAGGACATTCTGGCTTTCAGAGTTTCTATTGAGAATTCAGATGTGACCCTGATAGGTCTGCCTTTATATGATACTTGATCTTTTTCTTTTGCTGCTCTTAATATTTTCTCTTTATTCTGTATGGTTGGTATTTTGATTATTATGGGGGGAGGGTAGTCATTTTGTGGTCCAGTCTATTATGTATTCTGTAAGCTTCTTGTACTTTCATAGGCATATCCTTCTCTAGGTTGGGGAAGATTTCTTCTATGATTCTCTTTAATATGTTTTCTGTACATTTTTCTGTATATCTTCACCGTCTTCTATACCTATTCTTAGATTTGGCCTTTTCAGGGTGTCCCATATTTCATGGATAGTTTGTGTTAGAGATTTGTTAGAGATTTTCCTTGGATGATAACTGTATATTCTTTAGCGAGTCTTCACCAAGTAAGATTCTCTCTTCCATCTCTTGTATTCTATTGGTTATACTCACATCCTTAGATCCTGATCATTTATCTAGCCTTTTTTTCCAGCATCCCCTCTTTCTGTGTTTTCTTTATTGTTTCTATTCTAACTTTCATGCCTTGAACTGTTTTCAGTGCTTCCTTCACTTGTTTTGTTTTTTTTTTTTAGATTCCTTAAGAGAATCACTTATTTCTTGAATTGTTTTGTTTTTATTTTTCTAAGAGATTTTCTTGCTTTCTTTAAGGTTCTCGAACATCTTCATGAAGTAGATTTTTAGGTCTGTCTCTTCTTCCTCTGTGTTGTGCTTTTCCTATCTTGCTGGTCTGGAGTCCATAGATTGCAGTGGTGTCATATTTGTCTTTCTGTTGAGTGTGTTCTTATTCGTTCTTCTTCCATCTCTTCTTCCAGTTGGTGCAAGTGGGTTCACTCTATTTCCTCTTGTCACTTTGTGGTGTATGTGGGCTATGACATCAATGTCTGCAGATATGGATGTTCTTGCCTCTCCTGGTAATCTTCTCACTCAAGAGTTTGGGGTGGCAGAAGCAGAAGGGAGAGTGAGGTATATTTCCTGACTCATGGAGATCCTTCCTGTCTGGGCTGGTCCACTCTATGCAGGTGGGACCACTCTGCAGCTGCAGGCCCAGAGAGATCCTGGGCTGATGGGGACCTTTTGGAGGAGTAGGCCTCAGAGGTCAGGGAGCCAGAGGGAGAAGGAAGAGTGAGGTATTTCCATACTCATGGAGGTCCTTCCTGTCTGGGTGGGTCCACTCTATGCAGGTGGGGCCACTCTCTGCAGCTGCAGGCCCAGAGAGGTCCTGGGCTGATGGAAACCATGGGGAGGAGTAGAGCTCGGGTGAGGTCAGGGAGGCAGAACTGAATACAATCTTTAAGGAACTGGATAGATGATTGCACAATTGAGTGTACTGGCTGATCTATACTACCATGAATCCTCAGTACAACACAGACTCCACTGTTCTCCACCAATCCTCATACTCCAATCCTCTGTCTCCTCCTGCCTTATATTCCCCTCGCTGCCCTGCTATATCACTCCTGTTCCACCTCTCTAGTATAGGGATTAAAGGCAAAGTATTCCAAGTGCTAATATTGCCTTTGTGTGAGCCGTTTTCTCTTTTTAGACTGAATCAATTTTGTGTAGCTCAGTGTGTCCTTGTACTAACAGATACTTCTACCTCTATCTACCAAGTCCTGGGATTAAAAGTGTACATCAGTGCTGCCTGGCTCTGACTGTTGCCAGCTTTGCCTTTTGACCCTCAGTGGCTTTATTAAATCATAAATAATACCGAGGTAAACACTTTGTCTTTAAGTATTTTATAGCACAATTTTTATCTTTACTGTCAATTTATAGTAAGCATTTTCATGAGGAATTTTGTGGACCAATTCCCAACATCTTTGGATGTAAGTTATAATATGCAATGTTCAATTTGTAATATGAGATTTGGCATGCCATTTTTCTTGTTTGTAAAAGCTACTTTTAAATTTTGAGAATCTGCACATGAAGAAAGCATTAGCCACTAATCACATATAGTAATAAAACATTCAGAAATAATGGGTAAAATTTAATTTTCATTAATATGATATTTAATTTTATTTTACATTTTACATAACAGCCTATGTAACCTCTCCCTTGTCTTCTCCCACTCCCACTGGCTGATCTACAGAGGATCAATTTCCAGCAAACTCTGAGGGCTCACAACCAACTGGAACTCCATTCCTACAGGATCTGATGCCTCCTTCTGGCCTCAACATGTACTGCATGCAAGTACATTTTTCATAGGCATAATTGCAGGCAAACACAGAACACTTTTTAATTAAAAACGTTTTTTGGAGCTGGGCACATTACAGCTTGCCTTTAATACTAGCACTCTGGAGGCACAGTCAGGTGGATTTCTGAGTTTGAGGACAACACGGTCTACAATTCACTTCCAGGACACCCAGAGCTGTAACACAGAGAAACTGTGTGTGGGGGCAGGGTAGGGTTTTTTTTTTTTTTTTTGACCTATTAGCTACACCAGACATTGTTTAAAAATAATCCAGCTTTAGTGTGTTAAAAATTTATAGAGTGGTTCTCACAAGGACTCTGGTTTACTATCAGTTCTAAGACATGTCCCTAGGAGTATATAGTAGCAGAAACAAAGAATGCCAACATGCCTTCTTTGGCTCTATTGATAAATTCACTGCTTTGTAGATTTCTTTGAAGTGTTATTCTCTAACTGTGGAATTAACATAGTTCAATTTTAACATTGCTTCACATGCATCATAGATACAGTGGGAAGGATGAGCCACCCATATCTGAAGGCAGGGATGCATGGCATCAATAATTTTGAGCTTTTTTAAGTTGAGACTTCTCATGTTATTCTTGTCCAGGTGTCACTTATTTCTTGGTTTTCAAGATTTATCAACCACTGAAGTCCCTGCTCATCATCTTAGATGGAGGAAACAACAGGTTATAGATTGACTCTTTGCCTACAAAAGCTCAGTGATGCAGAGTTCCTGAAATTTAAAGAGCTGCTCAGGAATGCGCCAGAGAAACATAAACTCAAGCCAATCCCCTGGACTACAATTAAGAGGACTTCAAGAAAAGACATGGAAATGCTGTTAAACACACATTATCCAGAAAGGGTCTGGGGCATATCGTTGAGACTGTTTCTAGACATCAATAGGGAAGACCTCTGGATTATGACTCAGGAGCTGAAAAGAGGTAAGTGAGCATGGAGAAAGGGGGGACACAAGGGAGAAGGTTAGCCACATAGGAGCTGATTTTTAAAAACGTATTCTCTCATTTCCTATATCCTGACCAGTTTCTCCTCCATCCGTTCCTCCCACTCTTTCCCACTTCCCTGCTCCCCAGATGCACTGATCCTGCATTTTCCTTCAGGAAAGAGCATACCATTCAGGAACATCAACTGAACATGTCACGCCAAGCTACAAGACTAGGTACAAACATTCATCAAGGCTGGGCTAGGCATTTCTGTAGTAGGAAATGGGTCCAAAAAAACAGGTGAAAGAGTCAAAGACACCCCCTTCCACTTCTAGGAGTCCCACCAAGCTAAGAACCAGAATGTGGAGGTCATGTCACTCCTGTCCTAAGTGTTGAAGGCTGTACTGAAGAAACCAATGGTTGTTACATACATGATCCTTTAACTGGGCTTGTGAGGGTATCCTAATGCACATGCCCATTACCAATAAAAGAAAAGGTAGGATCCATTGAAATAAGTAAAGCAGATCCTAGCATTAACATTGCTTTCTTTGGTTCATGAAGAAAATGATTCTTTCCCTTGTGTTTTTAAAACTAAGAATATCAAAAATTAATTTCATCACAGAATTCCTCCCCTGTCTCTTCATTCTCTCTCCCTCCATTTCTGTCCCTGTTTTGTTTGTTCTTTCTATCTTTGAAAATGTATCACTGTGTAGCCAAAGCTGGATTCAAAGTCACTCTATAGACCAGACTAGTCTTAAACTCATGATTTCCTGCCTCAGCTTCCCAAGTTCTGGAGTTTCAGGTGCACTGTGCCACACTGAGCTGAAATGGAGTTCTAATTTAGTACTTATCCTTTTGGCCAGACATTTAGTGGTAAGACTAGGCCTTCATCTCCTTTCCAAGAGACCTCACCTTTATTTCCTATGAATTTCTTGAAGCAGTAGAGGAAGACCTCAAATTATTAAGCTTGGATGATCTCTAGGTGGGGGAGCATGTCATAATACATCCAGGGGGAATAATTTACCAACACATCATCCCACATTTCAGATGCATATTAATTAGCATAGTGTTACAATTTGTTGTTCATGATCATTTGACAGAACTATGATGTACCAGATGCTGTGTCAGTAGTGTCAGCCAAAATGATGACACATCTGGAACTATGCATCATTTAGCTGCTCCTTAGTCATGTGACTTGTTATCTGGTCATCTTGCTGAAGCTGACTAATGTCACTACATCTGTCTCCTCATGAGGATAAAGATCCAGTAATTTGGCAAAGACCAGGTAGACACATGCATACAAGACATGGAGAATGAAAGGTCATGGTTATTTTATCAGTTACATTTTGGTTGCTGTGATTAAATACCACAAACAAAACAGCTCCTGTAAAAGAACATTATTTTGGCTTACGTTTCCAAAGTGATGAGCCTCATCATGGAGAGAGGTAAGGAAACACACAGACATAGTTATAGGGGCCAGAAGCTAGCTATAAGCATGAATCTGAGAGGGAACTGAAGCAGGGTGAGGCTATAAAATCTCAGTGCCTGCCCTAAGCAAAATGCTTCTCCAGCAAGGCCACACCTCTTAAACCTTCCAAACAAGACCATTAACTGGGGAACAAATCTTTACATATACCAGTCAATGGGGCACATTTCTAATCCAAACCCCCACACTGATGCAGTATAGTCCCCCCTAGTGTTCCACACAGGTAGGGGCAAAAGGTAGAGTTTGGGAGGATAAGGTCAGCCTTCTTAACTATTTTGAGGTTGGTGGTCATTCTGGTCTACACAATACCCTGACCCTAAAAGAAGAAGAGAAAAGAAACTATATTAAAGCAAGACAATTTCTAGCTCACATCACCCTAAACTTTTGTCTTTTTTAGGCCACTACCATAGGAGTGATTGCAGGCTGGTGGTCTCTTACTGGACCATGGAGCTAGATCATTTCTACACAGTGAGAGTTCTGGTTGCCTGCCTACACATAGAGATGTAATGATGTCCTTTTATTAACCATGCATTTGATTAAGTAATTACACCTTGGTCATTTTAAGGGGTTGAATGGTACACATGGCAAGTTGCTCTCATTTATAAGCAGGTTGCATGGCCACACACACCCCAGAGCCTGCAATAGCATGTGACAGATAGCAGATCCCTTAGGATGAATGAATGAAGTGTCTGTCCTCTGTGGACCTGTGCAACATTTTCTCCTTTTCTTCTGATAAAAAGGTTTCCCAGGCCTAATGACTAAGTTTGGGGTTGTTTAAGTTTTTACTTGGAGTTTGTCTTGGTGGTTGAGAGAAATTATTTGTGGTTTTATTCCTCACCAGATGACAGGATTCCCCCTACTAGTGATGAAATCAAACAATACACATGTTATATATTGTCTTGTTGGTGAGACAAACATAGAGCAGGAGCCACAGACATAGGGCACAAAAAGAAATTTAAAAAATTAGGTACAAGATTTGTATAATAGAAATAATCTAGACCTTATAGTTTCAAATAAAGGAGCGGTGAAACTTCATACAATCCTGATATTTGTCATCATATAAACCCTCAACATACAGTTTTACATTTATTATTTGTAGGTTTATTTTTATTAGGTTTATATGTGTTTGACAATATGAGAATATGTTCAAGAGTGCAGGTTCCTTGAGGTGAGAGACATAGATTCATAAGTGGTGGAGTCGTAGGCATTTGTGAACCACTAGATGTGGATGCTGGGAACTGAATTCAGGTCCTCTGCAAAAGCGATATTCATTCTTAAACTCTTAGCTATTACTCCTACCCATGTTGAAGTGTTTCCTTATTTCTCTGGATTTACAACTGAGAACATGTGAAGATCATATGAAAACCTGTTGGAACTGGTTATGTGTCCCCATCTATTGAGCCAGGTTGACAACTTCAACACTTTATAATATGTGAATGTTGCATTTATTTTTTAATAAAACAATTTACTAGCATTTAAAAGTCCACACAGATACCATTTTTCATTTTTGAAAAGATTTTCGTGTGTGTGTGTGTGTGTGTGTGTGTGTGTGTGTGTGTGTGTGTATGTATGTGTGTACCTGTGGTGGCCAGTAGAGGGCAGGAATCCCTGGAGATGAACTAAACAAATTGTAAGTGGCTATGTAGGTGGTAGACACTGAACCCAGCTCCTCTGGAAGAACAGCAAGTGCTTCTAATTTATTGAACATTTGTAATGTACTAGTCACTGATGCAAGTCCCAGTAAATCTCAGAATAGAGCAGGCTTTTCTCAGAAAGCTGGTGTCAGAAATTCATGGGAAAATATTAAAGTATGGTACTGATTATATCCTAACTGCCTGCTAAATACCTCCATGAATGACTAGAGAAAGAATTTTGTTAATATTATTTGGCTTAGAACATTGATCCAGATTTATTAAATAACATATCTAAAACTATGAGATGCTTAAGATTGAACATAGGACAATCTGACAGCCTGATCTGGATTGTTTTCCATAGATTTCTAATCATAAGCCCAAAGTTTGTTTCACTCTCTTGTTGCCTGAATCAAATCTTGCTTTGACTAAACATGGAATTACAAATATGTAAATCCAAAGGAACTTATAAATTGTAAATGACTTATGGAAGGTATGAAAGTTTTACACTTGTGTAACACTATTCTGAGCCCTCACTCATGAAATTAGTACAAATGAAGTAGTCATAGATTTGGTTCCGGGGAGATAGTCTGCCCTTTGCAAATTTGTAATGCATTACCCAGAATTCATGCCTTACAGTAGCTGTCACTCAGAGGTGAGTTTCCATTTTGCTCATAATAGTTTTACAGGCAATATGTCAAATACATTATCACCCTGGATGGGGTAAATTGACAACTGAGGCTCTGGGGTTTATGCTATAGGTGTGTACCAAGATGAGGGTGACCATTTAGTGATTCATTTTAATCCCTGAATTAAAGAATTTAATGGGAGGAAAAGTTTCAAGGAAAGTGAAATTTGAGTTAATTTGCATTGTAGCTTTTTGTAGGTAAAGAGGCCCTACATATGGAGACTATTGACTCTAGATGGAACCTCAATTTTACTTTGGTTTAAAGTAAAACTTTGGTTTACTGTAGTCCTCCTTCGATTCTATTGGTCTTAAAATATTCATATATACCCTTTATGACAGTGATTTGAGTAAGTTAACATTTCTAACACTTGTTCACAAGCATGGAAAGATTTGCATACAGTAGAAGTCTGTATCTAGAGATGTGGGTATAGAAAGAACCAGTTTGTCAGTTGAGTTAGGGTTAGGGTTAGGCCTAAACATTGTTTGAGGTGTAATGGGAAGAAAAATTCTCTATCAGTTGTTGGGAAATGGAAACTTGTTACAGGGGAAGGGGTAGATGGCTCTTCTCCTTTTCTCCTTTCCATGAGACCCATGCCCTCACTGGTCGTCCAGATGTATAGATCACTCTAGACATGTATTTAAGAAAATCTGTGATTCATTCTCAAGGGCATCCTATTCCTAACTGCCTTATGTTCTGATTTCATCAAACTCAGATAAACAACGTCCATACAAAGAGACGATGAAGACTATATTTAAATACATATGGACCCAGGAGAACTACATTCATTTTCAAAATGAAGAATACCAAGTAATTATAAAAAAGCAGTACAGTGCATTGCAAGAAACATTTGATCATCAGTTAAAGCCAGTTACTGCAGTCGTCTTGGGTAACATCGGAGAAGGCAAAAGCACTTTCTTAAGAAAAGCAATGTTGGATTGGGCATCAGGAAACTTATGGCAGAACAGATTTCAGTATGTTTTCTTTTTCTCTCTCATTTCACTTAATAACATCACAGAGTTAAGCTTAGCTCAGCTCCTCTTAAGTAAGTTGTCAGAATCCTCAGAGGCACTGGATGATATCTTATCCAATCCCAAGAGAATCTTGTTTATCCTGGAGGGATTTGATTACCTAAATTTCGACTTGGAACTCCGGACCAACTTGTGCAGTGATTGGAGGAAGCATTTGCCAACACAAATTGTCTTGGGCAGTTTGCTACAGAAAGTAATGCTCCCAGAATCCTCTCTGCTTCTTGAATTGGGACCCCAAAGTGAGCCAAAAATCTATCCTTTGCTGCAGTACCCAAAGAACATAATTATTGGAGGATTTAACTCAGCTATGCAGTTATATTGTATGCTTTTCTTCAATATTGATAAAGGCTTAGAAGTCTTTAAGTATATACAAACCAGTAAACCATTGTTCTCTCTATGCAGCAATCCTTATGCTTGCTGGATGGTCTGTAGTACTTTAAAACAGCAGTGTGACAGGGGAGATCGAATAATCTTACCTTTAGGAACAGATACAATTCTGTACACAATGTTTATGTTGAGCTCATTCAGATCAGTGTATGCCAACTGTTCATCTAAAGAGAACAGAGCCCGATTAAAGACCCTTTGTACCTTGGCTGTGGAGGGAATGTGGAAACGGGTATTTGTGTTTAACTCTGAGGATCTCAGGAGGAATAGGATATGTGAATCTGAGCAGACGGTGTGGCTGCAAGTGAATTTTCTCAATACTCGTGGAGACTGCTTCGTGTTTTACAATCCTGCACTACAGTGGTATTTTGCTGCTCTATTCTATTTCCTCAGAGAAGACAAAGACAAACCTCACCCCATCATTGGAAGCCTACCCCAACTTCTAAAAGAAATTTATGCTTGTGGTGAAACCCAATGGTCTATGACTGGGATATTTGTGTTTGGAATCGCCACTGAAATAGTTGCTGCCATGCTAAAACCACACTTTGGTTTTATACCATCAAAGGAGGTGAGACAGGAAATCCTCAAATGCTTTAGAAGTTTGGGTCAAGGGGATTGTAGTGGGAAACTGAGTCCCCAGCGGTTATTTGATGGCCTTCTTGATAGCCAGGAAGAACCATTTGAAACACAAGTCTTGGATCTATTTGAAGAAATGACTATTGATATTAGTAGTACTGATGAATTGTCACTGGCTAAAATCTATCTGCTGAAATCTCAAAAATTAAAGAAACTTCATCTGCATATACAACACAGAATTTTTTCAGAAATCTATAACCCAGAAGAGGGTGACTTAGAAGAATTTACACAAGAGAAGACGTGAGTACATCTCTGAACCTTGTCTTCAGTTTTGCCCTTGTGTCCAGGGCACTATTTTATAGGTGTGTTTGTGTGCACATTGTATTTTTATGAATTCATGAAGAAGTCAGAGGAAGATGTGGGGTCCTTCTCTATTTTCTTTCATCTTAACCCCTTGAAACAATCTCTCACCAAACTTGAAGCTCACCATCTTGACCAGGCTAATGGCCCAGTAAGATATGAGGATCTACCTGTTTCCCCTTTCTCATGCTGGAGTAACAGCTTCCTGCATCCATGCCCAGCCTATTATGTCAGTCTGTCCATCTGAACTCAGTTCCTCATGCTTGTACAGAAAACTCCTACCCACCAATAGCTCTCTCCAGCATAGTGTTTCCTAAGTTCTTATAGGTCTATGCGTGAGTGTTTTAGATGGCATAGTCGGGAAGGATTTTGGTTGAATGTTCCCATTGCCATTTATATCTATGTGACCCTAAACAGCCATGCCTTGAGTTCCTCCATTTATACAAAGAACAAAGATGTTGCAAGGCCAGTGTGAGGTAGAAATATGTGCAGCTTTGCTTGATTGTCTGGCTCTTTCCTTCATCCACAGCCATGATTAGTGCTCTGTTGACTACACTGGAGAGTATTCTAGGAACTCATGTCTTGGTTAAGGCTGTATTCTTACTACATTGCTCTGGTTGGTTTGCCTTGCATTGGCTGTAGGCTGCTAGCTCATACTTGATATTTTAAGGATGTTGCTACTTTTATGATACTAATGGATGTAGGCCACTATTCACCAAGGAGTTGCAAGTATCTCCCTGAATTCACATAAAAGTTATGTTTTCTCACTGAAAAAGGTGGCATTTGAGAAAAGAGTAAGTGTGGATGTCTTCAGCAGTTATGCAGTGGTAACAGACCAGGTATTTTGCAAGTAGTGGAGGCATCCATAGCTCTTGTGCAATTAAGACTGCAATGGTGATTCCATGCCCAGATGATGACATTTTGTAGCCCACAGTGCTTGCTCTCTCTGCTGCCTCTGTCTCTTGTATGCTACTTTTCTTTTTCAAAGATTTATTTATTTTTACTTAATTTGTAGTCATGTCTTGCCTGAGTGTATGTCTATGTGCCATGTGTACTCCCACAGGGGGTTGGGAGTGATCTTCCCTTCTTAGGAATGTCTTGCATTGCATTGAGCTACCAGAGAAAAATGTGTTATCTCATTGCAGGAAAATAAAGAAAGAATGGAGTGAGTTATGCAGAATTTTCCAGAACTTGCAGGTGTTAGATCTGGACAGCTGTAATTTCAGTGAAACTGCGATTCAGGATCTTTGTTCTTCCATGTCTCCACCTCTTATGATGCCTCTGAATGCATTTAAGCTCCAAAGAATGTCGTAAGTTTGATAGTCACCCATCCTTTAAATAGATAGGGGAAATTCCTTCTCTACTTGGAGACTAATTCATAGCAATACACAACTAAATCCAAACTAACGAATACAATATTAGCACATATTTGATGTATTCTATGTGACACACATAATACATACTTATAGGTTGTTTGTAAATATCCATACATCGTGTGTATGTGTGTGTATGTGTGCACACGTGTGTGCGTATTCATGTTCATGTACACAGCAAAAAGGAATTGACTAATCTCTAGAGAATGCAATGAATGTTAATGAAAAGTTCAATTTTAAAGTCTCATTTGATTGTGTATATGTATGTGTGCATCTAAATTGGGTCTTATGGAGTCAGAGTCAAAATAAGCAGTGAGCTGCCAAACATGGGTGCTAGGAACAGAACTCCAATGCTCTGCAAGTGCAGTATGTGCTCTTAACCACTGAGCCATATGTCCTGCCCAATGATTCTTAGCCATCATGCTGACATCTGTTCCTTATGAGTAAACATGACAAGGTGTAAGTTTGGCTACAGTAACCCAACCTTGAAAATGAATAAATACATAAAGCATAAAGAAATCACATTTAATTTTCTTGAACTTTTAAGACAATTCTGGATAGGGATGCTTTAAACAGCAGTAGTATTTACTAAGCTGGGAACTGGTGGCACATGACTTTAATCCCAGAACTTGGGAGGCAGAAGCACAGATCTCTAAGTTGGAGACCCACTTGGTCTACAGAGTCAGTTTTAGGAAACCCAGGGTTGCACAGAAAAATCCTGTCTCAAACAACAACAAAACATCAGTCCTTAAAGAGAAATGGGCACCTCCCCTGGGATACAAAGCAGAGAACATTAATATACTTATAAGAATCTGTATTATACATAAGATAACTCTGGTTTGTTTTGTCCTGCTGGGACAGGCACCATGACCAAAAGCAGCCCAAGAAATTAAAGAGTTTATTCTATTTTACCACTCCTAGACATAAGCCATCACCAAGTGAAGTCAGGGCAGGTACCTGAAGTTAGGAACTGAAGCAGGGACCATGGAGGAATGCTGTTCCCTGGCTTGTCTCCCCCTGTCCTTCTCAGCAGTCTGTCTTATTCATACCAGACCTACCTGCCCAAGAACAATGCTACTCACACTGTCATTTTGATGCCAATTACCTATCAAGAAAATGACACTCACACATGCCAATCTGATGGAGGCAATTCTTCAATTCAGGTTCCCTTACCTAGATAATGTTGAGGTGGAAACCTTGATTAGCCATGACAGGCAATGTTTAAAGTGAGGGTACATGTGAGTCTTCCTAGGATGTTCTGCATGTTCCACAGAGGCAGGGGAAATAGAAGGGAGAGATAGGAGAAGCTTGAGCCTGTGTGTTTTTCTGGCACACGGAGATAATCAGCCAGATCTTGTGGGGCAGCCAGAATGCCCAAACAACCATGGTGTGAGGCAAAGTTTGGAGGAGCATGTGTACAATTTTCTTTGGCATGTACCCACACAGCCTGGTATAATGTGCTATTTGGCCTTATTCTACAGCTGTTCCTTCATGACTAACTTTGGAAATGGTGCATTATTTCCCACACTTCTTCGACTACCTCACCTGAAATCCCTGAATCTCTATGGCACTAATCTCTCCAGTGATGTGGTTGAGAATATGTGCTCTGTGCTGAAATGCCCAACATGCAGAGTGGAGGAGCTGCTGTAAGTCAGGGCACTGTCTACAGTCAAGGGCTTCTCTAAAATCATTTTAAAAATCGCTTTTTAGGCTTAATTTGAAAGTTTTGCTTTGCATTGTACATGCTGTGGTAGAAATGAGCTTCATTGTGATAGTTATTTTTTCTTAAAAATGTCCACGTGCTTCTGGTGTGTGCATGGCTTGTGTTTCACTGATATTGGTAATCAGATATACAGTGTTGCAGACCATGTTTTAGTGATCGAATTCTAATTATACATTAAAGGCCATGGCTTCTAACCACTGCATTCCCACAACCACTATCTCTATTACTTTTTGCAACCAACAACATCATCACCAAATATTTCTAAATGGATCCTTGAGAGGACAAGTCACCCATATCTGACAACAAGTGGCTTGTCATTCACCATGATAGTCACATAAATATACTTATGAATTAAATAAGCCTATGATGTAGATGTGGATGGATATGTACAGCATTAGAATCTGGGGTGTTTGTTTGAACAATAGGCAGTCTTACACAGATTACCTAAACATGTTGTTCCTAACCTGTGACATGTACCTCACATGTAGGTTGGGGAACTGTGACATCTCCAGTGAGGCTTGTGGTGTAATTGCTACTTCCCTAACCAAATGCAAGGTGAAACATCTATCATTGGTTGAAAATCCCTTGAAGAATGAAGGAGTGATGCTACTGTGCCAAATTCTGAAGCATCCAAGCTGTGTGCTGAAAACACTGATGTGAGTTGTTCTTGGGGAGCATGCTCTGGAGACATTGCAGAACTCTGCATGTGGGTGCAACTATCATAAAGCTGGTCCAAAGCCCAGTGAGGAATGAAGGAGGCTATGAGATATGTCACTAGTCCCTGCCTCAGTACCATATCAGTAAGTGGATCAAATGTAAACAGATTCCATGAGATGAACTTCAGAAAATTTCAAGGGTAGCTCTGAAATTCCTTACATATAATTTTATCTTAATGGATATGATTATTATGGGGAAAGATGATGCCCTTCGAAAGAGCCTGGCCACAAGGCCAAAGAAGAATATAAATAAGAAAAAATATTCCCTTCTGAGACAGGCCTTCCTACATCTTACCTACATCATTGTGTGCTGTCTCCTGCCCTGAGGCTGAGGTTGATTCCTCATGGAAGCATTCTGCCAGGCTATTGTCTCAGGGAAGTCATACAAGCTAACTCAGGGAATGTGCTCAAAGATACCTGGGTTCAATGAAGAGAAAGAATATACAGACACAAAATTGTGTCTTCTATGATCATGTACTCGTGTACTAGTATGTATATGTGCAGCTTACAGACATGAAGATGCATATAAAATGTAGGAGCTTTGAAATTTGACCCTCATGGAGATATCTGTTTACAGAAGAAAAATGCAATTAAGTACCTCTTACATGAACTGCTTATGACTAGACCAGAAATGTTTCATATTCCATTTATATTTTTGAATACTTTCATATCATGAGTCTTGTTGATGCTCCCTAAGTCCAAACATGAAATTTATTTGCATGGTATATAAAATTTGTGCACATGGCTTAGGGATAGTTCTATGTAGTATTTCAGTGCCTTTTCTGTTTTGACCTGGGCTGGGTACATGAGAGCAGTTGTGTAATTTTCTGTGTACCATGTGAGTGCATGAGCATGCAGAAGCCAGAAGAAGCCAGTAGTTCTCTGGAACTGCAGTTACAGGAGATTTGAGTACCTTATACATATTTTGTGGGTGCTTTGCCCTGAACCCCATGTTCTCTGAAAAACCAGCAATAATCTTAAATGTTGCACCATTTCTCCAGTCCTGAAAAGAAATTTGTAAAAGGAGAAAAAATGCACTATAGAAAATGTTAAGAATGTTTCCTAAGAATAGGAATAATGACATTATATGACAAGGACTAAATGAAATTATATGAAACATTATTTGGTTATTTAATTGCTAGTATAGAGTACATTGAAGTAAATTTAAAAGAGCCACATAAGCATGAGTTATTTCAAATTTTATCTAGTCATTGCAATACTAGCCTTCACCAATACAATTAAAGGATTAGGAAAACGATTTCAAATGGGGCTGGAGTAATAGCCCAATAGTGGGTAAAACACTTGCCAGGCTAGCATGATGACATAACTGATTCCCAGAACCATGTGAAAAAGACAGTTGCAATTACACACCAAAGACATGGAGACAAAAGGAACCCTAGACCTCTTTGGGCAACAGTCATGTCTAATAAATGAGTTCCAGTCCACTGAGAGACTCTTTCTCATAGGAAGCATGTCATGTTCAGCATGTGTCACAAGAACTTGTCCTCTGACCTCAACTTGCATGTGCACCAGCATATATACATACACACACACACACACACACACACACACACAGAGAGAGAGAGAGAGAGAGAGAGAGAGAGAGAGAGAGAGAACAAAAAGATATCCCACTAAGACAGGCATCTGCAACATGGTGAATTTCTGATGTAGGTGAAGGAATTAGTTGATTGTCTCTCTTTTTTTTTTTTTTTTTCAAAACAACCAGATTGGGAAACCTCTATGGTGAACTATAATTTCAGGATTTCAAAAAACTTTTTCAAAATGATTGCCTGTGTGTGTGTGTGTGTGTGTGTGTGTGTGTGCGTGCGTGTGCGTGTGCGCGTGCGCGTGCGCACGTGTGTGTACTCACACACATTTGAAGGATAGAAGACAACTCATGGGGTGGGTTATTCCTTTCCATCATGTGAGATTGAACTCAGGTTCCCAGACTTGGTGGCAAGGGCCTTTATGTGTGGAGCAACCCATTTCAATATGTGTTCATGAAAGTGAAAATTCAGTATGAGAAAATGCCAGGCTTTGCAGAGGCATGTAACCCTATGACAATAAGTGAGCTGCTGATGTGGAATCATCTTTGCAGGTTGTCATATTGCTGTCTCACCTTCATTGCCTGTGGCCATCTCTATGAAGCTCTTTTGTGCAACAGATCCCTCTCTCTCCTTGACCTGGGCTCCAATTTCCTGGAAGATACTGGAGTAAATATTCTGTGTGAAGCTTTGAAAGACCCAACATGCTGCCTGCAGGAGTTATGGTAGGGATGTGTTCTCATCCCTTGCTGGGAATGCAGATTCTGTTGTTGGTCTTCAGAAGGAAGTGGGAGGGTAGACTTGTGTGAATGTCAGTGTCTCCTCACACTCTGTGGTGAAGCTTACCAGCCATGAAGGGTGTCTTAAGACAGGGAGCTCTTGGTGATTGGCTCATGAAGCTGAGTCCCCAGGAGTGGGATTACTGCTCTGATGAAAGAAGCCCCAGAGAAAGGCTATGGGAGTCACCTGCTTCAGAACCATTAATACACTCACATTTTAGACCTGTAGAAATCTTATCTGCATATACCTCCACCAATCATAAATCTATGCATTTGCTTATACATTTACAAATCTCTCTGCCAATCATATATCTACCCACCTATTATCTGTCATCAATGAATTCAGCAGCTTTCCCTTATTGCTATTTATAAATTTATTGTCTTATTTACACATCATACATCTCTTCTTATAATAATCTGCCTATCACCTATCTATTATCATTCTAAACATCATACTAATTATATGTTCCCTATACATCTAACATATCTGCCTGATGTCTATATTTAACATCTATGCATTGATCATCTTCACATTCTCTATCTTCACCCATCTTATACCCAGTATCTTCATTCTGTCCCTCAACCTCTCTCTTAGCCATTTTTGCAAGTTCTATGGGGAACCATGAGCTTGAGGCTTAGGGAGGTTTTGGGGATTTATTATGTTAAATACTGGCAGAAGTTCACCACGTGAAGACATCTGCACAGATATATGAAATTAGGGACAAAGTAGCCTCACTTATTTTCAGGGCTTCTATAATTTCACCAGGGAAATTAAAAGGCAGAAGAATTGCCGGGAGCCAGGATGGAGGCGAGTGCCCAGGATGGAGAAGCATCGTCAGTATTTTAGAAGGGCTTGGGCATTTCTGTTTCATACAAATAAATGGATATGTGCCAAGATGTTAAGATGGAATATCATGGCCTAGGGATGTAGCTCAGTTGGTAGAATGCCTACTAAGCACACAGATCCCTGGGTTTGATTCTACAGCATGTCTGTAAAAAAAAAAAGTGTGATAGTTACAAAATTATGATCTTAGAGCTGGTAGATAGAGGGGGAGGGTCAGAAGTTGAAGGTCATCCTCAGCTATGTAATGAGGCTGAAGTCAGATTAGCATGTGACCGTCTATATAAAAGATAGTTAAGTAATGGCTGAGAGGGAGAATGTGTCACTCTCAAGGACAAGCTCTATAGGGTTAAGCAATCACTGGACACACCATACATATAAGCAAAGCTACTGGACTTAGTAGGTTATATAATCAAGTACATGTGTGCATATATGAATATATATATATATAGTAACAACAATAAAGATTATTAATTTGGGGGAACTGGGAGAATTGTAGGTGAGTCAGAGGGATGCAGATGCAGGGCTCATATGAAGTTCTAAAAATAATTAAGAAGAATTCAAAACAAAAAGAATGGGCCTCATAATAAATCAGTCTGCTTGCATGTGTGTTTCCCAGGTTGTCTGGTTGCTATCTCACTACAGCCTGCTGTGAGGGGATCTCTGCTGTCCTTTTGAGAAATAAAAATCTAAAAACCCTGAAACTGGGCAACAATAGCATACAAGACACGGGCGTCCAACAGCTATGTGAAGCTCTGAGGAATCCTGAATGTAAATTACAGTGTCTTGGGTGAGGCTTTACTCACTGTGAATGGTGGGATGGGTTCCCAATTCAATGAGGAAAAGCTAGAGGGTTAATAGGTGTGGCGGTTTGGAAGAAAATGGCCCCCAAAGGGAGTGGCACTATTAGGAGGTGTGATGTTTTGGATGAAATGTCATTTTGGAGATGGGTTTTGAGGTCTCATGTTTGCTCAAGCCAAACACAGTGTGTCAGACTATTCCTGTTGACTGTGGGTCAAGATGAAAGAATTCTCAGCTGCTTCTCCAGCATGCCACCATGTCCCACCATGATAACAGACTGAACCTCTGAACTGAAAGAGAGCTGCCATAATTACTGTTTTTCTGTATAAGAGTTGCTGTGCCATAGTGTTTTCACAGCAATAGAAACCCTAAGACAATAGGATTACAAAGAACTCCACCTAACCTAGTCTCAAGTTTTAAGAAATACTAATACACAGGTCTTGAACAGACAATTGTTGCTGTGGGTTTGAGCATAATGGCCCTCTCATATCTTTCCCATGACAATATTTGGTTCTTCTAGTCTTGTTGGCCCCTCTTCTGTGATGTTTCTGAGTATTCGGGGAGGGGGTGATACATATGTTCCATTTGAGGCTGAGTCACTCTCAGGATGTTGACTTGCTGTGCATCTCTGTATCAAGCAGTCCATTTCAAAGGGGTGCCTCTCTGAGGTTTGAGGGCTGAACTAACATAATACCAAGCATTTAGAAAAATGGTTCTCTTTCTGTGGGTCATGACCCATTAGGAGGTCAAAGGACCCTTTCACAGGAGTCACCCAAGATCATCAGAAAACAGATATTTACATTGATTCATAAAAGTAGCAACAATACTGTTATGAAGTATCAATGAAAATAATTTTGTGGTGGAGTGTCACCACAATACAAGGACCTGTATTAAGCTGTCACAGCATTAGGACAGCTGAGAACCACTGATTTGAAGGTAATTTTGTTATGTCCCCTTGGGAAAGCAGTAGTATTGAGTTGTCCCTTAGGGCTCACAGGATCTGCACCAATTTACAGGACCTGGCATGAGTGAAGCTAGTCAAAATCCCAGAGGGAAAAGGAGAGGCATTCAAGGGGCCCCAACCCTAGCTGAGGGGCTATTGGCAGGTGATGGCTTCTGAGGGAAGGAGAGCCAGTTTTCTTCAGAGATTAGGCCTGGTTACCTGTGCTCTAGTGGACAGTCCTAAACCCAAGCCCCTAAGTCAATGATAATTGAGCAGAGTGCAGTGTTTCTCAACCTTCCTAAAGCTTCAACCCTTTAAATACAGTTCCCCTTGTTGTGCTGACCCCCACCATAAAATTACTCTAGTTGCTCCTTTAGAACTATAATTTTGCTACTGTTGTGAATCACGATGTCATTATATGATGTGCAGGGTGTATGATATGTGACCGCTGTGAAAGGGTCATATGACCACAAAGAGTTCATGAACCACAGGTCAAGAACCACTTACCTAGTGGGTTTAAAAGACTATGAAGTTCTTGGGGTAAAGAATAGAGAGGTCTGGGAGGAGTTGGGAGTGTGGCAAGTATTCAGATGTAATCAAGACATGTGGTATACATGGATGGTATTCTCAAATAATAAAATATAGTGTTCCATGAGAGCTGGATTTTGTTTTTGCATACTGTGGACATTTGGTGCTGGAAGCTTGGAACTGTCACCCAATGTCACAATGCTTTTTGGGTATTTTCCATGTCACAGGTTAGACATGTGTGAGTTCACCACTGGCTCTTGTGCAGACCTTGCCTTGGCTCTCACCAAATGCAAAACCCTGACCAGCCTGAACCTGGACTGGATGACCTTTGACCCTGATGGGCTAGAGCTGCTGTGTGAGGCTTTGAATCACAAAGCATGTAACTTGAAGGTGCTGGGGTGAGTACTTGCTGTCTCCAGGGTCAGGAGTGATATCATTGAAGGTGCTGGAGTGAGTAAAGCTGTCTTCCAGGCTTGGGAGTGACATGAGAGCAAGCTCTTCTGTGTGGGTTTGCTCAAGTGCAGCCCCGCTGACCCTGGGGGCTGGGGAGTTCTGTTGTGAAGGACCTCCTTTGTCCTCTAGGACACTGAGATCACCTGTGGATTTCTATCCACTCATGAGTACCACCCTTTGTGGTAATTACTTTCAACATAATCAGACATCTTCTTTTAAATAACTTAGATTTTTTTAAAATTTATTATTCAGTTCTAAAGAATAATGAAATCACAATATTTGTAGAAAATGAGTGGACTTAGAAGTATAGCAAAAATAGGGTCACCTAAACTAAGAATGTAAAAACATATATTCTCACCAATATATGAATCCTAGTCTATAATATATACACACACAAAAAACATACAAAACATGGGTATCATAACATTAAGAAAGTTTAAAGGTAATAAAAGTAAAATATTTAGAAGCATGAGACCACATATAGCATACTTTGTACAAGTCACTTAAATGATTTGTAAACTTTTTCAATACCAAATTCATCTTTAAAAGGGTTTTACGTGTGATTGTTTTCCTCTGCACATAATTCTGTGCACCATATGCCTGCCTGTTGCCTGCAAAGGCCAGAAGAGGGCATCAGATCCCCTAGGGAAGGAGTTATAATAGTTGTGAGCCCACATGTGTGTGCTGGGAGTTGAAGCATAGTCATCTAGAAGAGCATCCAGTGCTCTCACCAATGAGCCAAATCTCGTCCAGAAGTTAATTTTAATAATGTTATGTATTCTTTGAAATTTTCATACATATATACAGCATGTTTTGATCATATTCCATATCCCACTAACAAACTCCAACACCCCAGGGACCCTCCAATACTAATGAATAACCTCCTGACACTAAGTCCTTTTGACCATGTGACTACAGGTATGGAGTCATCCACTGGGCATGGGACAGCCTACCAGCAGCCAAATCTTAAAAGTCATTCTCACTCAGCAGCCTTTAGATACTAACAGATCCTCTGATAGGCGTGGATCTCAGTGTTCCTCCCCAGTCCATATTGGAATTTTGAATGCAGGTGTTGTGCTGGCAATGTCAGCATCAACTGTGAGTTGATGCATAAGATGGTCACATCATGTCTAGAGGACAGCATTTTGTAGTGCTTCTTCCCATGCCATCCTCAGCAAATAAGGTCTATCTGCCTCTTTCATAATCCCTGAGCCTTGGATAGGGAAGACTGATGGATAGGGAAGACTGATGAATAACACATCTATGGCTCAGCATTCATAGTCACTTGATCTAAGCACTTTTGAGCAGTTGTGAATCTCTGCATTAACCACTACTCAGAGGGGGGAAATCAGCTTCTTTGACCAACGTTGTGAGAAGGACACATCTTTGTGTATAAATGTAATATTTAGAAGGAAATTTGACAACAATCCCATTTAAGAGATCAATAGTAGGTTTCCCTCTGGGGCCTGTAATCTCCTCAGCCATGGGATTTTGACAGTGTTTATAGTAGCAGACCTTAAATCACCCCTGGGGAGCAGATATCATGAACCAATCAAAAAGCATTTGACTACTCCTACAACTATCATGCCAGTATTCTACCACTGGGCACAGCTTGATCGAGCATTTTCATGCCTTCTGGGAGACACACTCACCTTAGCAAGGGCTACCATTCTACTTACAAACACTACATCCCACATTACCCATAAATGTTCAGTCCCAGCTAGAGAACTTACTCCATATGTGCAGGTTGATTAGATGAGGGCCTGTGAAGATGTCTGGAGGAACATCCTGTGGGGGAAAAATGGTTCCTGCCTCTGCCCTATTGACTTGGGTCCTATACAGGGCTATAGAGAGTAATATGCTGGCTAGGATGAGATACTAGAAAGGCTGTGGAGGGGCACAGAGTGGTATATGAAATAAGTGAGGAAAAAAGCAGACAAAGAGGGAGAAAATTGAAGAAGCGAGCTGTACTTTTTGTGAATTTAAGGGTGACCTAATATCCAAAAATCTAAGGGAATATTTTTTATGAAAAGATAACAATGCTCATTGTTTACTGCTTAAGACCTTATTTTTAAAATGGAGGCACAGGGCACACTGGTCACTCATATCCAAAGTTCAGGGAACACTGAGAAAGAGGAGGTAGAAAGACTAAGAGTTGGGAAGACTCCTCCAAAACAGCCTCTTCTAGCCTTGACACAGAAGATCCACTCATGAACTGAAAGTGGCAGTGGCTGCATGTATGATTCCTTCACAACATTCCAGCAGGCCCACTGGAGGGGCGCCTGGCCCACACCCCTAGGTGAAGACCTGGGAGGCATTTGGTGGCTTCAAGGTGGAGAAAAGGTTTTCTTTTGGCATGTGTACTCTGGTAGGTTGCATATGCCCCAGAGCATGCACCTACATCCAAACATATATGGGCATCACTAGTTAGACTCAGGAGCTACTGGTGAAGAAAAGACATGAAATTTGGAAAGGAATGGGGAGGGGTCACAGGGGAATGGGGAAAGGATATGATCAATATACATGGTATACATATGAAAATCCTAAAAGAGAAACAGTGTTTTAAATATAGATGTAGAGATAATAAGCTTCTGTAATTCAAGTTTTCTAGGTAAGCTTACTGATAATGGCACGGGGAAACAGGCAGTGAGAATAGAGGAGCATCAGATATACTCATGGGTGAGCTATAGTGTAGCATAAACTTCAAGTGTCTCATAGAAGGTATCTAAGGATGCCAAAGGGACAACCTTAACATAGATTAGTAGATCAATAGTGACATTAATTATACAAATTTGAGAAAAGTCAACACAATATTAAGGTGTAATGCAGAATAACAAATAATTATTGTGGATAGACATTTAAACATTGGATGGGTGGAAACAGTCATATTATTTCAATGTTTTTAACTTTAATCTTAACATCTTAAAAGGTGATTTACACGTATATCTGTATTACATACCTGTATACATGAGAGGGGCCCTACTTTGCAGGAGAGAATCGGCCTTCTCTTCATACTCAGTACATTCCTCTAATTCAATCCCAGGGAAGAGTGACAAAGAGGTATTCATAGGGGTAAAGAGGGGCAAATGATTGTCAACAAAATATGGCATGGTGACAGGACACAGTGGCTAACGGCACTTGCTGCTGAGTGTTACAACCTGGGACTCATAGTAGAACAGGGAGGATGGTCTCCTATGAACTGTTCTCTGACCTTGACATGTACACTCTTCATGCACCTGTACAAGCACATACCAACTAGTAAATGGAATAAAAATAGAACTTTTTTCTCTCCAGACTGGACAAATCTGCATCTTCTAAGGAATCACAGATGCTACTGGAAGGTGTGGAAAAGAAAAATCTGATTATTTTGCATTATCCCTGGATCAATGAGGAAAGGAAGAAGAGGGGGGTTTGTCTGGTGTGGAACAGCAAGAATTGATCTGGAAATAATGGTTTTTTCTTGGTCACATTGCTCCTATATACCCTGTCCCATGGTGCACACCTGGTACTGGTAGCTCATTTCAGGGTTGTTCTTTCATAGTGTCCTGCTCCCATCCATCTTTATTCTTCTCCTCACCACTCTGCAATATTTAGATAACACACATTTAATAAAGTCTAAGCATGTTTGAAACCATGAATGCTTCTTTGATGGCTGTTTTAGAGTTTGAAACTGAAGAAACGCTGATCCTCTTACAGTTCTGGTTGGGAGTGATGTTTATGGCATGTCTACACTTGGTGTAATTCTCGGTGCAGCTAACATCCACATGATCTGTAATTCATGCCATGATCCTAAAAGACAAAACATCACAGTGCAGAAAGTTGGAACCATGAAGATAATATCTAGAATCCCCAAAGTTAAAATCAGGAATCCATACTTTTTGGAGATGTGATCTAAAAAATTATTTTTCTAAGTTTCAGGAATCAGACCCAAGCCTCCCCCTTTGTTACTTCAAAGACCAGGTGCAAATATAAATAGGTAGTTAAAAGTGTTCCCCCATCTTCAGAAGGCCAGAATTCAAACCTACATTTTTGGCTCAAAACTGCCTGTAACTCCAGCTCTATGGTATCTGATGTGCTCCCAGGCTTCGACAATTCCTTCATGCAAGCATCACAGAGCCACATATACACACAGGAATAATAAACATCTAAACCTGAAGATTTTACACATTAACTTTTATGTACAGCAAATGGATAGTGACTAACAAAGAAGTTAGTCCTTTTATTCAATATTGTAAATTATAATAATCTAAAGGAATAGCTTCAACTTGTGGGTAGCAATCCCAAAGGGGAATTGCATATCATACATCCTACTTATCAGATATATACATTACAATTCATAACAGCATGAAAAATAGTTATAAAGTAGTAATGAAATTTATTTTATGTCACCAAAACGTGCACTGTACTAAAGAGTTGCAGCATTAAGGAAGTTGAGAACCACTGCATAATTAGATTATGGTTTTCTTTTAAGAAAATATTTACTTCATGGGTATGTGTGTACTGAAAGACCCCAACTCAAACCCAGCCTGATACCCACCAGAATGTATTTAAAAATCACCCTGGCCACACACACACAGCCCTGGGAAAAACACATGAAGTGGTTATGATGACCAGTCGCTGGAAAGTGTTATTAGTTTCCAAGGAATATTATCTTCAACAACTATCTGGTTTCTAAAATTTGTTATGGGTTACCCTGCTCCAAAGAGTCATTCCCACCCATGTTTTGAAAATATATGTCACTCTGTTCCTAGAAAAACCACCAGCTGTCCCATGGCCTGGCAAATGTAAAAACTAAAATAACATTCCAAACCCCTCATGGGCAAAATTGTAAGTTCAGTTCCCAACCAATCAGTAAATGACTCATATGTTATATCCAATTGATATGTTGTCATACTCTTGCCTAATGACCAAAAAGATATAAAAACTGATTTCTTTGGAAAATCAGGGTTGATCTCTTCTCAGAGAAAGACCCCAATGCTTTGGAATAAAATCCTTTTGCTTTTGCATCAAACTTGTGTCCTGTCAGTGACTCTATGGGGTGTGTGTCCTGAAGTTGGACCCCACTTTGGGCCCAACAGTACCAGTATGTGTATGTATACCATGTGCATACAGAATCCCTTGGGGCTCAAGGGGCCATAAGATGCCAGGAAAATGTACTTACATGTGATTAGGAGCTGCTATGAGGTTACCTGCAAGAGCAATAATTTATTTAAATTAGAAACAAGCTTGTTTGAATACTCTTAATCTCAGCTATTTCTCCAGTCCTTCTATTAGTTTTTTCAAGAACTAGAATTAAATTTTTTCCTTGTTCAATTGAGCTTTCCTAACAAATAACTGACTTTCCCCCACACTAATAATTCATCTTCAATTTAACTGATACAATTATTGCAGTGCAAATTTCTTCTTAACCAAATATAATCCCTACTCTATAATTTTCTTTCAAATTATCTGTGTGCCCATGAGTAATGTTGCCTGTGGAGGTCCCCAAAGGGCACTAGATGCCTTGGAACTGGAGTTAAAGGCAGCTGTGAGGGCCTGGTGTGGGTGCAGGAAACACCCATATGCTTAAGAGCCATGATGCTTTCTACTGCTGACCTGGTGCTACAGCCCCATCTGTTTTGAGTTCTGACTAGAAAAGTGTTGACAATTTGTGAGTTTCTTCAACTATAGAGTAAAAGCTCAGACAAGCATATACTTTTCTCTGCTTCCCCCTTCAATACCATTAAATTCACAATTGTAGTTGTGTAAAATGGCAATAAATTGAGGTTTTATTATGAATAACTTTCAATTCAGTTTTGGAGAACAGGAACAGATATGTCTACTCTAGACTCTATCAAGTTTTTTTTTCCAACTTTTTTTATTTGAATTAGAAACAGGATTGTTTTACATGACAATCCCAGTTCTCCCACCCGTCCTCCCCTACCTTCCCCAACTAAAACCTTATGTGTCACATATGGAAGGATGGTGAGGCCTTCCATAGGGTGCCATTAGAGTCTTTCGTATCCTTTGGGATAGGGCCTAGGCCCACCCCCGTGTTTCTTGGCCCAGGGAGTATTCCTCTATATGGAATGGGCTCTCAAAGTCCACACCTATGCTAGGGATAAATACTGGGCTTCTACAGGAGGTCCCATAGATTTCTGAGGTTTCCTCACAGAAACCCATGTTCCTGGGGTCTGGATCAGTCCCATGCTGGTATTCCAGCTATCAGACTGGGGAGCAAGAATTCCCAGATGTTCAGGTCAGCTGTTTCTGTGTGCTTCGCCAGCCTGGTCTGGACCTCTGTGCTCTTCACTGGTCCTTCTCTGCATCTGGGTTCCAGTTCAGATCGGTGATTAGTTATGGGTGTTAGCTTCTACTTCCACCAGCTGCTGGATGTAGGCATATAAGACAGTCATCAATCTCATAAGCAGGGGAGGGCATTTAAGGTAGCCTCTCCTCCGTTGCTAAGATAGTTAGCTGGTGTCATCTTTGTAGATCTCCAGACATTTCCCTAATGCCTGATTTCTCTGCAAAACAAAAATGTCTCCCTCTATTATGATATCTCCATTCTTGTTATCGTGTATTTTCCCCCTGACTCATACTTTCTGCTCCCTCATGTCCTCAGCATCCCTCCTCTTCTCCCCGTCTCATTCTCCTAGCTCCCTCCCCCGTCTTCCCGTGCTCCCAATTTGCTCAACAGATGTTGAACCATTTTTTATAGTTTTTTATTTATTGAAAAAAGATTATTCTCTCGCACAGTACATGACAACCACAGGTTCTCCTCCCTCCGCTACTCCCTGCAGCTCCCCTACCTTACCTCTGCCCCAGATCACTACCCCTCCATTTCCCTTCAGAAAAGAGCAGGCCTCCAAGTTTTTTTAACAATTATTTTGTTCTGAGTTTTATGTGGGGCAGCTCAAAAGGACAGTATTCTAAAACCATTGCATTGCTGTGATAAAATGACCAAAAACAACATGGGGAGGGAGGATTTATTGGGCTTAGAGGTAAGAGGCAGGAACTGAAGTAGAGACCTTGGAGGAAGATGCTTACTGGCTTGCTCCCTGTGGCTTTCTCCACATGGCTTGATCAGATTCCTTTTTAATACATCCCAGACCTTCTTCCCCAAAGATGGCCCCACCTAGATGAGAGAAGGCCCTCCTACAGTCAATCTGATGGTGGCATTTTCTCACCAGGAAAATTGAGATTTCCTGGTCCCAGATGACTAATTTGCTTCCAGATGACAAAATAAAAAACAAATCAAAACAACAACAACAAAAAAACAAGGACAGATAGATTTTTGAAGTATCAATAGCTAACATTAAGAGTTCTTAAAATGTTCACAGTCTTTTCAACCAGACAGCTGGGTAGTGGTGGTGCATGCTTTTACTCCCAGCACTGAGAGGCAGACGCAGGCAGATCTCTGAGTTCTAGGTCAGCCTGTCTACAGAGTGAGTTCCAGGACAGCCAGAGCTACACTGAGAAACCCTCTCTGGGATGGAGGGGAATCAACAGTCTTCAAACCAGGGGAAAAGACCAGGATACAGCCTTGACATCTTCTCCTGATGGACTTTGTCAAAGGCTTCACTTTGAGTCACAGTGAAGTGACTCTTTCAATTCCCACAAATGCCTGTCACAAACAGAAGAAAAAACACCAGGAAAATGAGCAAAAAAAAAATGCACACATGCAGCTAAGCCTGTCACACTCTCACCACATCAGTCCACTTGCTATTTTATCAAGAACACAATGAGTCATCCTAGAACTTTCTACTTCATACCAACTGTCAACTGCCAAAACTACATTAGCACAAAAGGGACACGGCTTGAGATGATACCAGTTTGGTGCTGTGAGTGCCAGAAATGTCATGTGGAAAATCCTAGTCTTGAAATTTTGAATGAAAAACTGAGAAAGTTCTCATGTGGAAAACACTGCAACCACGCGAGAGAGTGGCAGGTTTTAGAATTGGCACCAAAAGTTTGTGTGTTTAATGTAAGCTTTTTGGATGGCTCGGATGGGGCAGGTATTCTGGAACTAACTCTAAACCTTTTGGGCAGCTCAGATGGGAGAGGTGTCCTGGAACTCCGGAGGCACAGAACACTCAGTGTTACACAGCTCTGTTGGAAAGGTATCCTGGAGCTCAGGGGCCAAGGAATACCACAGGTCACAGTAAGCACAGCAGCTTACAGCCCTGTTTCAAAGGGGGCTTCCCCAGTGTATCAGCTCTGCTCTGGCCCAAAAGGGCTTCTCCTGCGATGTTGTTTCGCCTCCATTCCAGGGGAGTGTAACAACTCCGCTCTGTCAAGGGAATGTTTCCCCTGATAGAAGCCTTACAATGTTGCTCGCTTCACCCAGCCCTTGCTGTTCTGCTGCTCTTGTATGCTGCCCTGCCACTCTCCGCTGCTCCTCTCAAAGGAAGGTTTTCACCAAAAGCTCCTTTAGGGATTTTTATTCTCTCTCCTTCT